TCCTCATCAGCATCGTCATGAGCATCATCATCAGCATCATCTTCGTCATCAGCACCATCATGATCTTCATCATTATCATTGTCAGCGACATCATCATCATCATTATCATCAGCATCAGCATCAGCATCATCATCGTCAGCATCATCATTATCATCACCCGCATCAGAATCATCGTCATCATCATCAGCATCAGCATCATCACCATCAGCATCAGCATCATCAGCATCAGCATCATCAGCATCAACATCATCATCAGCATCATCCTCAGCATCATCATCGGCATCAGCATCATCATCTTCTTCAGCATCATCATCATCGCCATCATCATCAGCATCATCATCATAATCATCTTCAGCAGCATCATCATCAGCATCAGAAACATCGTCATATTCATCATTACCATCATCATCATCATCATCGTCATCCTCATCATCAGCATCATCCTCATCATTAGCATCACCAAAGTCGTCATCAGCACCATCACCACTATCATCATCATCAGCATCATCATCATCAGTACCACCATCATCAGCATCATCATCGTCATCAGCATAATCATCAGCATCATCAGCATCATCATCAGCATCACCTTCGTCACCAGCATTATCATCGTCTTCATCACAATCATCGTCATCGACATCATCATCATCATCATCATCTTCATCATCAGCATCATTATCGCCATCATCCTCAGTATCATCACCATCAGCACCATCACCATCATCATCATCAGCATCACCATATTCATCAGCATCAACATCGTCATCAGCATCATCATCAGCAGCACCATCAGCATCATCATCGTCAACATCAACGTCATCGACATCATCATCATCATCATCATGATCACCGTCATCATCATCATCTTCGTCATCAGCATCAGCATCATCATCGTCATCATCACTACCATCACCCGCATCATATTCATCGTCGTCAACATCAGCATCAGCATCTTCATCAAAATCAACATCAGCATCATCAGCATCAGCATCATCATCCTCGGCATCATCAGCATCATCATAATTATCATCATCGTCATTTGCATCACCATCATCATCAGCATCATCTACGTCATCAGCATCATCATCTTATTCATCATCATTATCGTCATCGACATCATCATCATCATCAGCATCAGCAACATCGTCATCATCATTATCATCGTCATCGTCATCGTCATCATCATCAGCACCATCATCATCGTCATCATCATAGTCGTCATCATCATCTTTACCATCAGCATCATCAGCATCATCATCGTCATCATCATCCGTATCATCATCATCATCAACATCATCAACATCATCTGCATCATCATCAGCATCATCAGCAGCATCAGCATCGTCTTCGACATCCGCAACATCATCTTCTTCATCATCATCGTCATCGACATCATCATCATCATTACCATCATCAGCAAGAGCATCGTCTTCATCATCAGTATCATCATCATCATCAGCATCACCATATTCATCAGCATCATCATCGTCATCAGCATCATCATCAGCATCATCGTCGTCATCAGCATCATCATCTTCTTCATCATCATCATCGACATCATCATCATCATTATCATCATGATCATCATCATCGTCATTATCATCACCCGCATCAGGATCATCGTCATCATCATCAGCATCCGCATCATCATCATTATCAGCATCATCAGCATCATCATCATCAACATCATCATCGTCATCATCATCAGCATCATCATCGGCATCATCATCGTCATACGCATCATCAACAGCATCATCCACATCATCATCAACATCATCATCGTGATCAGCATCACCACCTTATTCATCATCATAAGCATCATCATCTTCTTCATCATCGTCATCATCGTGATCGACATCATCATCAGCATTATCACCACCACCATCATCGTCGTCATCATCAGTATCATCGTCATCAGCATCATCATCTTCATCATCATCGTCATCTGCATCATCATCATCAACATTATCATCAGCATCAGCATCATCATCGCCATCATCATCACTATCATCACCCGCATCACAATCATCGTCATCATCATCAGCATCAGCATCATCATCATAGTCAGCATCAGCACCATCATCATCAGCATCAGCATCAGCATCAGCATCAGCATCATCGTCATTTGCACCATCACCAGCATCATCAGCATCATCAGCATCATCTTCGCCATCAGCATCATCATCTTCTTCATCATCAATACTGCCATCGACCTCATCATCATCATCAGCAGCATCAGAAACATCGTCATCATCATTATCATCATTATCGTCATCGTCATCATCAGCACCATAATCGTCACCATCATTACCATCATGATAGTCGCCATCATCATCATCACAATCATCATCAGCATCATCATCGTCATCATCATCAGTATCATCATCATCAGCATCAGCATCGTCATCTGCATCATAATCAGCATCATCAGCATCGTCATCATCATCTTCGTCATCAGCATCATCATCTTCTTCATCATCATCGTCATCGGCATCATCATCATTATCATCGTCAGCATCATCATCGCCGTCATCATCAGTATTATCATCGTCAGCATCATAATCGTCATCATCATCATCATCACCATATTCATCAGCATCATTATCGTCATCAGCCTCATCATCATCATCGACATCATCATTAGCATCATCGTCGTCATCAGCATCATCATCTTCTTCATCATCATCGTCATCGGCATCATCATCATCAGCAGCATCAGCATCCGCATCATCATCGTCATCAGCGTCATTATCATCACCCGCATCAGGACCATCGCCATCATCATCAGCATCAGCATCAGCATCATTATCAGCATCATCATCAGCATCATCATCGTCATCATCATCAGTATCATCATCGGCATCATCATCGTCATTTGCATCATCATCAGCATCATTCACATCATCATCAACATCATCATCGTGATCAGCATCATCACCTTCTTCATCATCATAAGCATCATCATCTTCTTCATCATCGCCATCATCGTCACCGACATCATCATCATTATCATCATCAGCATCATCGTCGTCATCATGAGTATTATCGTCATCAGCATCATCATCATCTTCATCATCATCGTCATCTGCATCATCACCATCATCATCATTATCATCAGCATCAGCATCATCATCGTCATCATCATCACTATCATCACCCGCATCATAATCATCGCCATCATCATCAGCATCAGCAACATCATCATAGTCAGCATCAGCATCGTCATCATCAGCATCAGCATCAGCATTAGCATCACCATCGTCATTTGCATCATCATCAGCATCATCAGCATCATCTTCGTCATCAGCATCATCATCTTCTTCATCATCATTATCGCCATCAACCTCATCATCATCACCAGCACCAGAAACATCGTCATCATCATTATCATCATCATCGCCATCGTCATCATCAGCATCATCATCGTCATCATCATTACCGTCATCATAGTCGTCATCATCATCACAATCATCATCAGCATCATCATCGTCATCATCATCAGTATCATCATCAGCATCAACGTCATCTGCATCACCATCAGCATCATCAACATCGCCATCATCATCTTCGTCATCAGCATCATCATCTTCTTCATCATCATCGCCACCGGCACCAACATCATTATCATCGTCAGCATCATCATCGTCCTCATCATCAGTATCATCATCATCAGCATCATCATCGTCATCATCAGCATCACCATATTCACCAGCATCATTATCGTCATCAACATCATCATCAGCATCATCATCGACATCATCATCAGCATCATCGTCGTCATCAGCATCATCATCTTCTTCATCATCATCGCGAATGTGGGCGAAGGGGGGCATTCTTTGCAGCAGACGCGGCACGGCTTGTTCTGACGATTTAAAGGGGCTTTGAATCACACGATTGCGCAATCTGCGGACCTTGTCCGTTTCAAGACACACCGTGGAAGAGGGCGGGAAAAGGGCGGGCCACAAAAGAGAGACCTGGAGACACAACGGTTGCGGAAGGCACGCTTCACAGCCCCCCTCCTGGCACTCACTACCCTGCACACAGATCCACGAGCGTGGGCGGGGGGGAACATTCCTTGCAGCAGACGCAGCACGGCTTGCTCTGACGATTTAAAGGGGTTTTAAATCACACGATTGCGCAATCTGCGGACCTTGTCCGTTTCAAGACACACCCTTACCCATATCATGTTCTGGGCGGGTGGGCGGGGCACCAACGACTCAGGAGTTGGCCTATGTGGAAACAAAACTGGGGAGGGTTGGCAGACGCGACCTTGGACCACAGCTGTTTGTTGTCCGGGGTGCGTCCTGCGATCTCAATGCGAGGCTGGCCAGAGAACGAGCAGCGCCCACCCCTCCCCGCGCAACGGGCCCCAGCGAGCTCCTCCAGAGGCAGGTGGGAGAACAACAGGGTCGCGCGCTTTCTGCACGGTGCGCCGAAAGCACAGTAGTCTATCTGGACAGAGTTATACTTATCTAGCAAACGTTTAAATCCCGGGAGCTCCCACAACATGCTTGAGGCGGGATTCTCGAATACGCAAGGCACGCCTAGACGCGAGAGGGCATCGAAAAGTTTGGCGGCCCACCTAGCTTCTTTGTTGCCTTCCTGGACCTTCCGCAAATCATCGGGGGGAAGGTCGGGGAGGCCGAGTAGGTGCCCACGGTCCCGAATCGGTGCTTGCCAGCTTTTTTTGCCCGACCAGTTCCGCCCAGCGCGGGACCAGGACGCGCACACAAGGCCGATCCAGCACATAGCAAGAACAGCATGGGAGGCAGCTTCGAGCAGGCGCCTCGAGACATCCCTATGCAAGCAATCCTCCAGCGGGGAATCGGCCAGCTCCCAGCTGCGCGCGAAGAAGCCCACGCTCTTGCAGGCAGCGCTTATGCCGCGACTGCCTGCCATCAACTCAGCCACGACCCAGCCTGGCCGAGGGACAGACGGGGCAAGGACGAGGCCGCCACGCGGGCCCCAGTCACCCCAAGCCGAAAAAGAGCGGGGATGATTCACTTGGGGATGGTCTCCGCGGCGACAGTCCGCTCGAACAACGACCCCACCACCTCGAACGTCTGGCGCCCGAAGTCCCTCGAGGCAGGAGTCATGGCATTGAGGAGTTGGTGCACGGCGCCGGGCTTCCCGTACCTGTTCAGGGACGAGTCCGTCCTCCAGTGGCCCCGAGCCTTCACGGTCTTCCGATCCCGCCGGCCTGAGAGGACGTCGCCCGACGCACCCCCGCGTCGCAGCTGGTAGAGGCAGACCCGGGGGAGGCCGCACTTCCTCGCTGCGACTCCGAACTGGGCCGCCACGAACGCGCCAGGGGCGGGGAAGATCAGGTCGGTCGGCGCCCTCCCCCGGACATGAGCCGCCGGGCACTCGCCGAGCCAGGCTGGGTGGCCTATGATCACGGTCTCGTCCGAGGTGCCCGTCTTGGCGAGCTCTCGGCGGGAGCCCCTCGGATCGCCTGGCATGCTCGCATCCATCTGGGTCGGGGCGAGGATCAGGCTCCAGCACTGCAACTGCCCCGAGGCCCTCGAGGGGGCCAGCAGCTGCCGTACTTGTAGCTTCCGAAGGGCTCCTGGGCGGACGTAGGTGAAGAAGGTCGATGCCACCTGGAGTGCACAGCCCCTCTGCCCCCGCGCCAGCATCTCGGACACGACAGCACCGAGGAGTTCCCGAGGCAAGGGGGCACGAGATGCAGGGGGTCGGCGCTTGGTGTAGCCACGAAGCCCACGGCTCACGCGCGGCATCGTCTGAGAGCCCGTGCACCACGGGTAGGCGTCCTTGACCGCTGCGACCAGGATGGACGCGTCGGCCCGGGTACACTCCGCCTCCAGCATGAGGTCGAGGAACTGCAGCACCCGAACCTCCATGTCCTCGATGGTCGACGGCGCCCCCCCCTCCTCGGCGAGGAACACCTGAAACGCATCGGAGTACGCCTTGTAGCCGACGCGCGTCGCGTCGGCCGCCGCGGCCAGCTCGCACCTGGAGAGCGCCATGGCCGAGGCGGGGCTGCTCCGGTTGGGCTCCAGGGCCTTGGCCAGCCGAGCGTGCAGCTGGGGCGGCGGCGCCGGGGTGTGCGCCGCCGGCCGCGCCCGCGCCGCGCGGGGGGCGGCGCTGGCGGCGGGCTTGCGGCAGGCCGCGGGCCTCTTGACAGGGGCCGACCTGGCCTCCAGGCCGCTCGGCCTGCGCACCAGCCCCTCGCCCACAGCGGCGGTCGCCAGGCGGCGCCCCTTGGGCCTCAGCCCCAAGGTCGGCACGGGCAGGCGGCCCGAGCTGCTCAGCGGCTCCTCCGCGAAGGTGCCGCGCCCAGCCACGCTCAGCGGGCCCAGCATGCACCAGAGAGAGGCCCTCGAACGTCCTGGAGGCCTCGTCGGCTGGCTGCCATTCCGACGGTATCCACCGAAAGTGGGGCCCGATGTTGGTGGCCAGGGTTAGAGCCGCAAGGCGACGGTTGAGTTGCAACATACAGTATGACGGCGATCGGCCCCTATCGAAGCAGCAGCAGACGCCGAAATTGTCGATCAGGAATAAGTGGCGATGATGATGGTGCGAAGGGTCCTTTGCGAGACGACGTAGAGCCCATAGCATAGCCCTCCCCTCCTCCAGCCCGATGTGTTCGATGTAGCGATACGGACCCTTGTAGACCACCCTCCACCCCTCTTTATGTAGCACACGACGAGGGACCTCTGGGAACCCCACGACCTTGGCCCACCCATCGATGACATTGTTGGTGAGGACGGTAGCAGGGTCGGTGATCTCGGGGAAATCATCGAGGGCTCTCTTCCGGGGGGCCATTCTTCGGGTTGGAGACGTTTGAACCTCCACTTCTCATGCCACCTTCCAAGCTCAGAAACTTCCGAAGTATCCAATTTCTCCTCACACACTCCGAACCCCGTCGCGGAGGCGTCGGTGGCCGTCACGGTCGACGACCATGGCCTGTCAAGCTGGCTCCCCAGCAGCACTGCAACGGCGGAGAAAATCCATGCCTCGCACCGGCAAGAGCGCCAGAGTCGACAAGGCCGCATGTAACGATCACGAATAAAATCATATAGAGCACGAAGGACGGACATCCCTGCTCGATTGAAAAGTGCTGCGGCGACACAATGTCCGACCACCACTTCAACCTGGCGGCCAGTCACGATGGGGCCGCTCGCTAGCCACTGCAGCGCACCTCTGAGCAACCACAGCTTCTGCCCGGCGCGCCTGGTGACGGGCGGATGGCCCCCCACGTCGGCCCCCAGGATGGTCGAGTGTACGCTCGTCTCTGAGATCTCGCGCATGCTGAAGCCCTCCTCGGAGAAGCGGGCCACGACACGATCCCTCAGCTCGGTGACCTCCTCAGCCCGCACCCCCAGCACGTTGATGTTGTCTGAGTAGGGCAGCTCCACGGGGCCAGAGGTCAAGGACGGCAGCGGCCAGGCTCCCAGGGCGATCCTGTCGTCGGGGACCGCGGCGCGGCGCAGCATCTCCAGGTGGATTCGCTGCACCAGCCAGAAGCTCCAGCTCCAGCCCATGGGGAGCACGACAAGGCACGGGTGGACCCTCTCCCGCCCGGCGAACTCCTGGCCGCACACGTCCACGGCCAGACCGAGCTCGAGGGCCACCTCGACAGGCGCCGAGGGCAAGCAGAAATAGTTACTCAGCCTCCCGATGCCGCCGCACTGGTAGAAACAGGCCTCGATGTCCGCCGAGGCAGCGCACAACTCCTGGCCGGGCTCCAGCTCGATCGCGCTCATCGCCTCGGAGCTCCCGATCTCGACGGTGGGAGCGTGGGCGAAGAGGATATTGGTGAGCCGGCAGTCCAGCACGAGCCTCTGCTTCCCATTCTTCTTGGCCACGACGAAGGGGGTCACCAGATTCAGCGACTCCGACGCCACTCCAAGTAGTCGTCGATCCATCAGGCGCCGGAGGAAATCCACATAGGCCTTCTTGTCAGCCCGCAGCGTGACGTCAAAGTAGGGACGCGAGGGAGTGCGCCCCCTACGCTCGGAGACGACTTCGGGGCTCGCGAGGATGAGGTCTTCGAAGTTGGTCAGCACCTTCCGAGCCTCCACGTCCAGCACCCTCGCGGTATCCACTGGGCCCCGCCCAGGGGGGGGGAGAGATAGCCGTTCAGCGTCATATGGTTGCACTGCACAGCCATCGCCTCCATAATCGATACGAGGCCCCAGAAGCTGAGCCGCAGCTTCGCGGGGTAGAAGTTGATCAAAATTATGCCGGGCCTCCCTGGCGGTGCGCAGTAGGTGTCGGTGCACCGAGGACTGCGCTGGGCTCGCCGGCCCCACCGCGTCGCGCTCGCAGCCGTAGAGGGCATTGAGCGCAGCCACCATGTCACTTGCATCGTCTAGGGCCAGCCGGCGATACGTGCTGCGGCGGCGGGCCGTCCTGGACGCCCCGACGCGCTCCCACGTCAACCCCTCTGAGCCGACGGAGGGTAGAGGAAAAAGTTCATGCGGTCCGCCGAGAGGTCGCGGGCCCACGCGTTCTGGCGGCGGAGCGGCACGGCGTTGCGCATCTCCCCACCGCCAGCGGTCTCGGCGTGTCTGGCTGGTGTGAGTGACGGGAGGGGGGTCGCCAGAGAAGAACGTATCCTTCCCCCCTCCCACGGCCGAGACGGTCATGATGCCGGCGGCGGCCCCTTCTTCCGGGCCGCCGCCGACTTTGCCTCCGCCTTGGCCTCTCGAGCCTTCCTCTTCTCCTTCTCGATCGCATACTCCTTCGACATCTCGGCCGCCACGTGCGCCCGAAGCGCGGGCGTCACTGTGACACCCGTGCCCTCCTCGCCCTCGCCCATGTAGATGTGCGAGCCCTCGAACGCGGGCTTCTCAGGATCATCCCGATGGGCCGTCTC